CGCGCTGAGCGGCTATGTGCAGCAGCACCCGAAGAGTGGTCATCTTCGGGGTGGGAGAGAAGGTCTGAAAGTAGTCAACTCCCTGCCGCTGACTGAAGCCACGAGCAACGTACCGCGCCTTGAAGACAGGTGGAGAGCCCGGCGGCCGCTTCACCCTGAAGATCCACATGCCACTGACGATGTTCGCCCCGGGAGGGGGAACTGCGTCAACGTAGGTGCCTGTGAACTTCCAGGAAGCCATCTCTGCATCCATAGCTGCCTGCCACTGAGAGGAGTAGGGACCCTCTACGGCCTCCGCGTAAGAGCGCGGAGTCGGGATGTCTAGTGCATCCGGGTCTCCCTCAGGAGCAAGCAGTACAGACGCGAGATGAGGTGAAGCAGCAGCCAGACACTATAACTCCTCCTGCCTGTCCTCTAGGACGTCCGTGCCAAGAGCACACTCACCCCCGACGGACGGAGGACAGACAGACGCAGACTCAGCAACAAGACTGGCAGCGTAGTCTAGACGACAGCGAGCAGCAAAGTCGACGAGCTCAGCGACAAGAGCAGACGCAGCAGCGGACTCAAAAGAGGGGTCAGTGAGGACAGTAGCAAGCAGACGCGTGACAGTAGGACTGGCAGCACGAAGGGAGTCCGACTCAGGGTCGGCAAGCGCAGGAAGGGAGGACTCAGGAGGAGAAGGCAAAGGGGCACGCAGAGGAGCAGTGGACGGACGCAGAGACATCCAGTGCGTGCCAGGGACAGGAGGAGGACGCTGACGCGAACCGCGACCACTAGCGCGAGCAGCACGAACAGGCGACGCGGGACGAGACGCAGGCTCATGACGCTCAGCAAGACCTCAAGTAGGACCAGTGTAAGGAGAGGGAGCAGGAAGTGGGGAGGTAGGCTCCAACAGTGACTGCGACTGGACAGGCTCTGGACACTCTACCGGAGGAGAAAGACCAAGAACCTGCTGCAGGAGCGGAACGAAGTACCGCCGAGGCCGCGCGGCAGCTCCAGACTTAGCAGGGACAGCACCAGCACCCTGAGCGGCAGCACCAGCTCCACCAACACCTCCAGCGGCAGTACCTCCCGCAGCACCAGCAGCAGAACCACCGCCAGGACAGACAGCAGTAGACTCAGCACCAACACCCTCAGCAGCTCCAGCTCAAGTAGGACCCGCAGGCCCAGCAGCTACGGGACCGGCGGCACCAGCACCCTCGACGGTCGAAGAAGCTCCAGCTCCAGCAGCACGCCTCCAGCGGCGAGCAAACCACTCGCGCAGCTCCTGTGGAGAGAGGGGCTCCCTCCGAGACGCAGCACCAGGAGAAACCCCAGGCTCACCAGCTCCAGACGGAGCACCCCCAGGCTCAGCAGCTCCAGACTCAGCACCCCCAGGCTCAGCAGCTCCAGACTCAGCACCCCCAGGCTCAGCAGCTCCAGCTCCAGTAGGACCCGCAGGCCCAGCAGCTCCGGGACCGGCAGCACCAGCACCCTTAGCAGTCGAAGAAGCTCCAGCTCCAGCAGCACGCCTCCAGCGGCGAGCAAACCACTCGCGCAGCTCCTGTGGAGAGAGCGGCTCCCGCCGAGACGGAAGAACTGGAGAGCCCCCAGGTCCAGCAGTCGTAGGCTCTGCACCTCCAGTCCCAGCACCCCCAGGCTCAGCAGCTCCGGACGGAGCACCCTCCGGCTCAGCACCCCCAGGCTCACCAGCTCCAGACACAGCACCCCCCGGCTCAGCACCCCCAAGCTCAGCACCCCCCGGCCTCGCACCCCCAGGCTCAGCACCCGCAGCAGGACCAGACTCAGCAGCAACCTTGACTGGCTCGACTGTGTCTACTTGGGACACACCTGAAGGGGCAGGAACCTGAGGGGGGAGGGGGTCTACCGGGGGGGGAACTGGTACCAGGAAGTCCGGTGGGGGGGGGAGGGAAGGAGTACGGTAGGGGAAGAGGCGGTAGAAGGGGACTGACTCGTCGAACGTGACGTCCTGGGAGGACAGAACACGACGAGAGGAGGGGTGGTAGAACTGCCACCCTGGAGCGTCAGGGGGGAAGCCAAGGAAGACACAGGGAGCAACACGGGGGGACAGCTTGTCCGCAAACAAGTCGCGGACAAACGCCCGAGATCCCCAGACACGGAACGCAGACGCATCGCCGACCTTCCCTGTCCACAGTAACACTGGGGACATCGCGGGCCGAGAGACCCTGGGGTGAAGGTTGAGCTGATGCGCCGCGTACCGAACCGCAAACGGCCACAGAAAATGGGGGGCAGCCGCATGCATCATGGACGTACGAGCGACATCCATGACCATGCCAATGCGGCGCTTAGCAATCCCATTTTGCTGCATCTGGCCGCCACCAGTAGTAGTAGCAGCAGGAGTGGTAGTAGCAGTAGCGCCGCCACCCCTACAGCCCCAACCAGCGTACCACTCACGCAGCTGCTGGGGCGTGAGGGACTCACGCAGACGTCGCTGGGGCTGCATCTGGCTCCGCAAGTAGAAGCAGGAGCAGGACTAGCAGCAGTAAGGCAGGCAGCCAGGCAAGCCAAAAGGCAGGCAGGCAGGCAAGCAGGCGACGGGCAGCGTGCTAGCAAGGCAAGAGCTCACCAGTGGTGGGAAGAGTAGGCTCGGCGACTCAGCGGCTCGGCAGCACGGCGGCTCTGCGGCTCGGGCGACTCGGGCGGCTCGGCGGCAAGGCGGCTCGGCAGCAACTGCAGCTCAGCAGCTCGGCGACCCGGCGGCTTGGCGGCAGGGCGGCTCGGCTGCTGGTCGGCTCGGGTGCAGGGCGGCTCGGCGGCGGGGCGGCTCGGCTGCTGCAGTTGAGCGGCTCGGCTGCTGCAGTTGGGCGGCTCGGCTGCTGCAGTGGGAGACGAAGGAGGAGGAGAAGCAGGGGAGACCACACACCTGCCACCCCTCTGCTGCGGCCCCCTCAGGTCGCCTCGACAGACGACGGGAAAAAGGGGGGGGGGGGGGGGGGAGGCGGGGCCGCGACGGGTAGGGCAACGAGACCAGGGGCGGCGGGGCCGAAGTAGCAGGGCCGGCAGGTGCAGTGGCGGGGCGGCTCGGCTGCTAAGGCGGTAGCGGCCCAGTGGCTCAGGTGGAGCGGCGGGGCCAGCAGGTGCAGCGGCGGGGCCGGGATAAGGGGACGGCGGGGCCGTCAGGTGGGGACGGCGGGGCCGTCAGGTGCAGCTGCGGGGCCGGTAGAAGGGGACGGCGGGGCCGTCAAGAGGGGACGGCGGGGCCGTCAGGTGCAGCTGCGGGGTCGGTAGAAGGGGACGGCGGGGCCGTCAGGAGGGGACGGCGGGGCCGTCAGGTGCAGCAGCGGGGCCGCGACGGGGCGGCGAGGTCGCGACGGGGCGGGGCCGTGACGGGCCTACGGGGCCGCGACAGGGTGGGGCTGCGATGGGGCGACCGGGCCGCGACGGGGCGGCTGGGCCGGGACGGGGCGGGGCCGCGACGGGGCGGCTGGGTCGCGACGGGGCTGGGCCGTGACGGGACGACGGGGCCGCGACGGGGTGGGGCTGCGACGGGGCGGCTGGGCCGCGACGGGACGGCTGGGCCGTGACGGGGCGGGGCCGCGACGGGTCTGGCTGGGCCGCGACGGGGCAGGGGCCGCTAAAGGGCGGGGCCGCGTCAGGGTGGGGCCGCAACGGGGCGAGGTCGCAACGGGGCGGGGCCGCTAGAGGGCGGGGCCGCTCGACAGGTGGGCGGCGAAGCCGCTAGTAAAGGCGGCGGAGCCGCGAGAGGAAGGGCGACTCGAAGGGTCGCTAAAAAAAATTCGCGCCTCGGGGCGCGCTTAGGTGGGCCCTAGGCGACGTTCCCACAGGGAACCCGCTCTATACCATGTGAAACTGAAGAACAGGAATGAATGAACTATGAGTGAAGTGAGTACAAATAGCAAAACCCTAATTGGGTTGTACCCCCTATGGGATACCCCACTGTAGCCTACACAACAGCATAAGCTACATATATGTTCTGACACTTGCTGTTCCCGCCCATGAAGAGGTAGTACTCATCTTGCGTGGTCCCCTCAGCTATGTACTTGTGCACCAAATGCGGCTGGAATTCTTCCCACAGAGGATAGAACTCCATCTCTCCTGCAGGGGCAAGGGTGATGAGCCAGGCGAAGGTTTTACCCACCATTTCCTGACAATCAACACAAGGACGCACAAGGGTGAGGAGGGGGTTAAATTTCAGGCACCGGACATGCTACACACAAGTTTGTGGACGGGACTCACAAAAGACGGACAGAAGGAAGACAGGCCGAGAGCGGTAGCGAGAGGAAGGGTTGGGGGCGGGTTTAAAGACACAACTTGCAAGACATAAAAGGACAGCACATCCGAAAATACATACTATCAGAATGGCACCTCGGTTAACTAACTTACATCGAATGCATCGTCGCTGCTGACTGATGACGGAGTGGTCGGGTTGCCCGCAACGTCCTTACGGACGTTCTCCATTCGGACCAGGGGGTCAGAAGGGTCTCGAAGGGCGCCCACGTCTGAGCTCGTTCCGGCGACTCCCGCTGAAAGCTGTCGCTGCATCGACTCCAACTGCGTTTTCAGACTATCGCGCTCAGCCTCCACCGCCTTGATCCTGGCCCTTGCCTCCTTTAGCTGCGCGTTCAGAGTGGAGACCGTGTTCTGCAGGTCACGCAATTGCGCCTCCAGCTGTCGTGCTTCCCTGAAATGGTGCGCACCAGCAACTACGGGACAAGCCCCGGGAATAACACGTATCGAGAAAGGCAGACAACAAGCAAGTGGAAAGAACAATTAGACAGTCATCCAGCTGACGTTATGAACAACGGAGCTCAGCTCATAGGCATAAAATGCATAACACATTGGCGAGAGGAGAGGGCGAGTGGGGGGCCGGGGGGGGGAAACGTAGGATGGAGTTGAGTAACAATTCAAGAACTGGCACCGTAGCTATGAGCGTGTTGTGTTTGCTTACCTTGCGACCGTTCACGCCTAGCGGGTGCTGCCGGGTTATTAGGCTGCGAGGTGTGCGGTGCCAGCTCCGTCTAGCGAGCCTCCGCAAAGCGCACATCTGCCGCTCGAACCGCCGCAGCGCGGTCCTCCACCGCGCGAACCTCCGCAGCCCGAATCTCTGCCGCTCGAATCTCCGCCGCCCGAATCTCCGCCGCCCGAAGCTCCGCCGCCCAAAGCTCCGCCGCCCGAAGCTCCACCGCCCGAACCTCCGCCGCCCGAACCTCCGCCGCGCACACTTCCGCAGCGCGCAACTCATCGTCGTTTCCCGCTTGGACGCCGTCAGCATCGTCTGCATCGTCGTCGTTCCCGTCTTCGTCGTCGCTACCAGCTTTGATGCCGTACGCGATGAAGGGATCCACGCCGCCCTCCTCTGCGGCCTCAATCACTGCTACCATCATCAGACCCGGGGCTCCGGCGGCGCACAGGGGGTGCAGGGAGAGCTCCAGTATCTGCGTCTGACGCGATACTGCAGACTATGCCGCCTGTGGTTGGTGCGCCGTTTTGCGTGGTGTCCATTGAATCAACCACCGGCGCAGAATTTGCGCCTTCTGCTTCTGACGAAGTGCCGGCGGTAGGGTTGTCAGCGGATTGCGAGCCTTCAGGAATGTTGCCATTCGCACCAGAGGATCGACCACGCGCACCAGAGCCGGCGGCAGCACGTTTCCTCTTAGACCCGCCCCGACGGCCTGCAGCTGCCATCTTACCAACCGTGGGAGTGCCGTGGAGAGTGTTGACTGCAGCTGTTTTTAAGGCAGCCTCTTTAGCTAGCTGCCGCCTCTTAATCTCTTCTCTGAGAATGTCATCTCCCAGTTGTGACAGTGCAGAGGCATCGAGCAGATTGAGAGCAGAATGAGGGTGGGGCAAGGTGACCCCTGCTGGATCTGGCAAAACTCTTTTCTCGGTGCCCGCCCACACTAACTGTCCCCCATTCTGAGCCATAGGTTTGAGGATAGTGATGGTTGACGACCAGTTAAACTTACCAAATGGGGAAAATGTCATGACGCAACCAGCCATGAGCTTTTTTTTCGCACGGCTTAATATCTGAAATTTTTAGCGACACAGTGAATGTTTGCGACTTCTCAACCCCATATGTCCATTGTTTCCCATGCCTTTCCCCGGAAAATGTTACTGTGAACTTTGATTCGGCGAACGAGGAAGCAAGGTAACATGCATATATGTGGATTAACGTGCCTAAATTAAAAAACACACCCATAAACTAAGCTATGAAACTATGATATTTCAAACTGTAGTGATCTAGCGCGGCGTGAACGAAAAAGAGTGTTGAAATCACAGTTGCACGTTAAACACGAACTTGTTTTATATGTACTCGAAAGCAAATGGAACAACCACGGTCGCGGTCAAGCGGTTAGTTTACAACTAAAATTTTCCATCTCGTGCAAGCACCACTTCGAAAGGTGCAGGTGAGACAAACGTCGCCACCGCGCAGACCTCGACTCAAACGGAGCTGATGTCACGCGTGTGCAGCGCGCAGTGTGGCACGTAGCTGGAGAAAATGCCTGAATGTGTCTTGTTTTCGACTATCGTGCTGCCAACACGACTGTTATTGCCGCAGAATGAACCAATCGAAAGTTGCCACCATCTGTGTTGGAAACTGGAAGATTTCGACCGACTAGTGCGACACCGCCATCCACATTCAGGTGCACCCCACAGTGCGCAACGCAAGGCAGTTATCCTTGTCTGACGGTGTCACGTGTGGCAGCTGCCATTGCATCGATGGTGACTTAATAACGAGGAAGTGGGACAAAGTATGCTGTCTGGTACAGACTCCAAACGAATTGGGAACGTAATATAAAATACAGATTGAAGTATTTGACTCTTAAAAGGCTAAGGCAACCTAGATGGCTTTGTTTGCCTGCCAGGCCACTTAAATATACTACCCAGTATGAAGTTTTCACCATGCAAACCTATTAACGAACCACTTTTCAGCGTCTTTGTCCGGTCGTACTAACTGTACCGCGCGCTTGATGCTATCAATACTGATTACTCGGTACCTCTGATTAACTCCCTCCCAGTGCAATACCTTGCACTTGGTGGCTGCATCAACGCTGGCCTGTTCCCTGTAGTACTTGACGAATGCATAGTTTTTAACCGTGCCCGCAACCTTGGCATGAAACAACAGAAGGGCTTTCGCAAACCACTCCTCATCCCTATCTGAGCCCTCACCTTTGACCTCCACATCAGAAAACCATTGACGACTGTGGTGCATGGGCAGGGCGCAGATGTGGTGCGGCAGGCGACGATACTGCGCATCAACCGCAGCTGGCATGGCGAGTTCCCAGTGGACCTGCAAAGGCACCGTCAACAAGAAGAGTCAGATTGTTTGGGTACCGTTACAAAAGCTACGACGGGGCAGGACTGGACGTCGTGCATACATGTACTTCCTTGATAGCTTCCCCATTGCCATCACAGCCAGGTGCCCTATCCAATGCCGCACGCAAGTGTTTCAACTCCTCGCCGATGTTTCAACGCTCCCCTGTCCGTTGGGCCTGCACGCATGGAACACCACCATCATCTCGTTACGTGTATTCCATGCTCGATGGAAATAATCAAGAACCATACACATAAGTCTAGTTCTTACCTTCATCATGGCGGTGTCATACTTCTTCTTCGCCATGAGTTGTGGTGCGATATTCTGAAGACGAAGCCGTGCCTCTTTGCTGCCGACGATTTGGCTATTGACTGACCGTTCATTCGATGCCCAATAAGGGTTTTTTATGTACTCTATATGCAGATGCTCGTATAGTTGTGCAGAATAATGCTCGGGCAAGCCCGACCTACGAATGGAGTCTATGTAGTGACTGATGAGGTGCATCTCAATGAAGTTCCAATCCGACCTGTGCGGGAATGCGGTCTTGAGGTTGTGTAACATCCTGCGTATAGGCCAAAACATGTCGATCAATATTTAGCAAGCAGTCGGAGAATGAACGCAACACACTGTGAACTATACTACTCACCGGTGTGCCTTTGTCTTGAACTCAAGGAGGGAGGTGTCGATGTGTTCCGATGCCCACGCGCACTCGAGGTACCACTCGATGTATGAGACGAGTGCATCCATCTCCGGCTGCGTAATAAAACCCTTCACGATGAAGGGCAGAATCTGCATGACTGATCGGTGTTCGTATTGTTAGATTTATATGACATAACTATTGTAGGCTATAGTGGGGTAGCACATATGGGGTACAGCTTTCCTAGGGTTTGCATTTGTACCCAACTTTCACTTAGTCATTCTCATTTCTCGTTCTAAGTTTCTCATGGTATAGAGCAGGTTCCCTCGTGGGAACTGTGCATAGGGCCCACCACATCGAAAAAAAAAAATTCCTGCCCAGAGCGCGCTCCCCGAGTCTCGCTCCCCTCTCTACCTTCGTCGAGCCGCCCTAGCGGCCTCCCTTGCGGCCCCGCCGTCCTCACTTGCGGCCCCGTCGCCGCCCTCACCTGCGGCCCGTCGCCGCCCTCCCTTGCGGCCCCGCCGCCCTCACTTGCGGCCCCGCCACCCTCTGTTGCGGCCCTGCCGCCCTCACCTGTGGCCCCGTCGCCGCCCTCAACTGCGGCCCCGTTGCCGCCCTCCCTTGCGGCCCGACGCCGCCCTCACTTGCGGCCTCGACGCCGCCCTCATCTGCGGCCCCGTCGCCGCCCTCACCTGCGGCCCGTCGCCGCCCTCACCTGCGGCCCCGACGCCGCCCTCAGCTGCGGCCCCGTCGCCGCCCTCACATGCGGCCCCGCCCCCCTCACTTGCGGCTCCGCCGCCCTCAGTTGCGGCCCCGCCGCCCTCACCTACGCCCCCCCGCCGCCCTCAGTTGTGGCCCCGCCGGCCTCACCTGCGGCCCCGCCGCCCTCAATTGCGGCCCTGCCGCCCTCACCTGCGGCCCCGCCGCCCTCAGTTGCAGCCCCACCGCCCTCACCTGCGGCCCCGCCGCCCTCACTTGCGGCCCCGCCACCCTCAATTGCGGCCCCGCCGCCTTCAGCTAGTGCATCGCCGCCCGCCGCCCGAGCCGCCCGAGCCGCCTCTCCCAGCCGAGCCGCCGACCGCCGCGCCGCCCTACAGCAGCACAACCGAGCCACCCCGCAGCAGAGCAGCCGAGCCGCCGAGCCGCCCGGTCGCCCTGCAGCCGAGCCGCCCAGCCGCCGTGCAGCCGAGCCGCACAGAAGTCGAGCCACCGTACCGCCCAGCCGCTCTTCCGCCGAGCCGCCCGTGCAGCACTCTCCGATGAGCACAGCACCTCTGTCACTGCACTGCCCTTTCCCTACTACTTGCACTGCTGGTCTACTGTTGTCATGGCTACCCCTAGTGTCCTCACTTTTGACGCTGAGGGTCGAGCCATTGACTTTGAGGTCTGGGTCGACGACCTCCTGCTGTTCTTAGAGTGCGATAGGGCAGACGGTCTCTCTCTCTTTGACCTCACCTCTGGCGCCTCTCCTGCCCCTGCTGCTGATGCTGACGCTACTGTTCGCTCTCAGTGGGCCACACGCGATGCTGCTGCACGTCTTGTTGTGCGTCGACACCTGCCTACCACTGAGCGCGCGCACTTTAGTCAGTACAAGAGTGCTCAGACCTTGTACGACGCTGTAGTTGCGCGCTACTCTTCCCCTGCCACTGCTGCACTGAGCCGCCTCATGCTACCGTACCTCTTCCCTTACCTTACTGCCTTTCTCACAGTCGCTGACTTCATTACGCACCTCCGCACTAGTGACACTTGCTACCGCGCTGCGCTTCCTGCTGAGTTCTGCGCCAAGAACCCCCCCCCCATGTACATCACCCTCTACTACATAGTCACCCGCCTCCCTGACTCCCTTCGTGTAGTCAGGGACCACTTCCTCTCAGTCTGTCCCACCACTCTCACTGTTGACCTCCTAGAGAAGGCCCTCCTAGCAGCGGAGGAGAGCATAGTCGCTGTAGGAGCCTCTCGTGGTCACCCTCGCACCCCCATCTTTGAGGGGTGTTCCCCTTCCCCCCTTTTGCCCTCTGTCGCCTCTGCTGCTGCGGCCGACCTCGTTGGTCTTGATTCGGTCGGTGCAGCGTCTGCACCTAGCGGGAGACGCCGCTCTGGCAAGGGCAAGGGGGGCAAGGGCGCGGGTGGAGCTAGCAGGGGTGGTGGAGGTGGCGGTGGAGGCGGCGGAGGGAGTGGGGGTGGCGGTGGGAGTGGTGGCGGGGGTGGAGGTGTTGGTGGCAGCAGTGGAGGCGGAGGCGGCGGAGGCGGTAGCGGTGGGAGCGGAGGCGGTAGCGGTGGGAGCGGAGGCGGCGGTGGTGGCGGAGGTGGAGGGAGCAGCGGTGGAGGAGGTGGAGCTGGTCGGGGTGGCGCTTCGCAGCGGAGCGGCTCCGGTGGTGGTCCGCGCCAGCAGCAGCAGCGGTCTCGGGACATCTCCCCCCCTTAGCAACTCCGTGAGTGGTACGCGCAGCGTCAGCGTGGTGGGGGTTTTGGTCCGTGCACCTACGTCCTTCGCACCGGCGACCGCGCGGGTGAGCAGTGTAGGGGTGCCCACCCCACCCAGCGCTGCTTTGGCCGCCTGACGGACGCTTGGCGTCAGCAGTTCCCGGAGGCTGGTGAGATCCCCCGCTGGGGAGAGCTGTCTAGGGCAGATGTAGCCATCTATGATCTTGACTTTGATGCTATCCTTGCTGCAATGTATGCTGTGACTACTAGTGATGAGGGCGACTATGACCGGTGTTTCCCGCCCGATCCAGGCATTGAGACTGCTGCTCTAGGTACTGGTGAGGCTTCTGCTCTAGATGCCAGTGAGGTTGCTGCTCTAGTTGCCAGTGCGTCTGCGTCCTCAGGTACTTGTGAGTCTGCGCTCTCAGGTACCGCGTCGGCTTCGGCCTCCCTCACCTTCACACTTGACTCAGGGGCTTCTCGCTCCTTCTTTCGAGACCACAACACACTCACGCCACTTGGTCGGCCGGTTGCAGTCTCCCTGGCAGACCCCTCTGGAGGCCCTGTCCTCTCTCACTTCTCCACTGTCCTCTCGTGTTCGGCTGCCCC